CAGTTCAGGCTGGTGGTGTGATGCTGTGGGGGATATTTTCTTGGCACACTTTGGGCCCCTTAGTACCAAATGAGTATCGTTTAACCACTTTCCTACCGGGCACTTATACCCCTTCATGCCCAGGCCAGTTTTCAGCGCTGTCGCACTTTGAGTAACAATTGCGCGGTCATGCAACATTGTACCCATATTAAATTTTTATCATTTTTTTTTCACACAAATAGAGCTTTTTTTTGGTGGTATTTAATTGCTACTGGGTGTTTTATTTTTTGCGCTATAAATAAAAAAGAGCAATAAATTTAAAGAGCAAAAAATTTAAAGAAAAAAAAAGGTTTTCTTTGTTTCGATCATAAAATTTTGCACACAGGTAATTTTTTCTCCTTTACTGATGTACAGTGATGAGGCTGCACTGATGGGCTCTGATAGGCAGCACTGATGGGCACTGATGAGGTGGTACGGATAGGCGGCACTGATGGCCGCTGATGAGGTGGCACGGATAGGCAGCACTGATGGGCGCTAATAAGCAGCACTGATATGCAATAATGTTGGGCACTGACTGGCGGCAGAGCTGTGTACTGACTGGCAGCACTGGTGAGCACAGGTGGGTGGCACTGGGCACAGGTGGATGGCACTGCTGGGTACGTATGGGTGGCACAGGTGGGCGACACTGCTGGGCACCTATCATCAGGGCACTGATCATCTGTGCCGATTCGTCCTCTGATAATTGATGGTTATCGGGAGTACTTTTGCATGAGGAAAGTGCAGCAATAACTGGCAACTGCATTTACTGGTGATCTGCTGTGTCATTGGACATGGCTGTAAACGTGGTAAAAAGGCCACTGTGATTGGCATTTTATCACATCACGCGATCAGCTGTGTCCATATGGTGTACGGGAGGGTGTGTTCTGGCAGTACGTCATACGTCGACCTCCCAGGACTGGACAACCGCGCTGTAGCCGTCATTCAGCTATAGCGCTGTTGCCAAGTGGTTAATCTCCATGATGTACCGGAGTATTGTTGCTGACCATGTCCATCCCTTTATGACTACAGTGTAGCCATCCTCTGATGGCTACTTCCTGCAGGATAATGCACCATGTGACAAAGCTCAAATTATCTCAAACTGATTTCTTGAACATGGCAATGAGTTGACGGTGTGACGATCGTGCGTCAGACCCCTGACTTTCTCACCAAACTTGTGACCAAAGGACTAGCCAATCTGAAACCGCGATGTCACGTGCGTAACAATGCCACGCCCAGCTGCACCCTGCACAACGATTTTCCAGCTCACTGGACCACAAATCGATGTACCGGCAGCCTGGGAGCGATTGTCACTGGGTCAGGTAATTACGCAATTAACCCTTCACACTGCCACCACCTCCTTTTTGTACAGAGAAAGAGGAAACTCGGCAATATCAGCAATAACACTATGATGGTTGAGATAATCATCTGTATAGCACTGTCACCGCAGACAGGTTATACAGAGGGTTAAACAAACACAGTAGCGCTCTTTTAGAGGCAGGAATTCCTAAATTGCATTAAGGAGCTTTAGAAACAGTTAAACACTTTCAGAAAGAAAGATTTATTACTAAAAGGTCAAAAGGGTGCAATAAAAATATTTACATAAAAAAGATGTAACCAATATATATATATATATATATATATACAGAGAGCAAGAGCACAGCAAAGAGATAACAGAGAGAAGTTAGAGGGTTAAAGTACTTGCCAAAGTCCTGGATTAAGCAGATCAAGTTTCAGAGCAAAAGGGCACGCTCTCCCAAGGTGGTTCTGATGTTAAAAGGGAGAATTCTTCAACTTCCTTCTCTTAGGCCTGACAGCCCATTTTGTAGCCCCTCAGCAGGGGGTGTCTCTGAAGCCAAGGACCAATGCCTCATTTAGGGAGGGATTGTCTGTGCGGAGACCCAAACTAGATCCAATATCTCTCGTAACTCATATTTTGGCTCATAACTTTTCCTAGGCACAAGTACCATTCCACCAGCGGGAAGATTAGTATGCAGACGCATCTGAGGAACGGTTACATATGAGATATGAAATACATACTTGGAGGGTTCAAGAGATGTAATTTTCTGCTTTCCTAGGTATTCCAGTCAGGGAGTGTGACCTATCAAACGATTTGTCTAATCGTGGGCCATCTGAAGATAGGCCTGGTTTTTATGTAAGTCTCTCATATTCCAAGATATGAGACATAGGGGAAAAATGGATTTTAAAAGTGTTATCTAGTTCCTTACTCCTCTAGAATGTCTTTGAACTCAGGGGAAGGCTTGGGTTATCTTTTTACGAGGTGCCAGATTACTCAGCTTCCCAGCCCGCCCAGCACCCAGCTCAAAAATGGTTTATAGCTCGGAGCTCCCTGCTGTGCCCTGGCCAGCCTGTGACACTCCAAACACACACACACCGACCATATGTCACTGTGACTCTCAGGGAGAGGGGAGAATGAGGGGAGAAATGTTTGTACAAGATGGATGACCCTTTGCCAAAATGGAGGTTGGAGCCAAAATGGTTGAACCGCGTCCATCTCTGTGGCATGATTGCGACACATGGTACTCCAGTGGCCTTCACAGTCACCAGATCTCAATCCAATAGAGCACCTTTGAGATGTGTTGAAATGGAGGATTTGCATCATGGATGTGCAGCGGACAAATCTGCAGCAACTGCATGATGCTATCATGTCAATATGAACCAAAATTTCTGAGAAATGTATCCAACACCTTGTTGATTCTATACCAGAAGAATTAAGGCAGTTCTGAAAGCAAAAGGGGGTTCAACCCAGTAACTAGCAAGGTGTACCTAATAAAGTGGCCTGTGTGTTTATGTATTTATTTATATATTGTGTGTCTATAATCTACCACCTCAAAAAAATTAAAGGAACACTTTTTTAATCAGAGTATAGCATCAAGCCAATTAAACTCCTAGGATATTGATCTGGTCAGTTAAGTAGCAGAGGGGGTTATTAATCCATTTCAGCTGCATTGGTGTTAATAAAATTAATAACAGGTGCACTAGATGGGCAACAATGAGATGACCCCAAAACAGGAATGGTTTTACAGGTGGAGGCCACTGATATTTCTTTCCCTACTCATCTTTCTGACTGTTTTTCACTAGTTTTGCATTAGGCTAGGGTCAGTGGCACAACTGGTAGCACGAGGCGATAAAGGGCCCCTACAGAGGTTGCAAAGGTAGTCCAACTCCTCCAGGATGGCACATCAATACGTGCCATTGCCAGAAGTTTTGCTGTGTCTCCCAGCACAGTGTCAAGAGCATGGAGGAGATTCCAGGACACAGGCAAGTTACTCTAGGAGAGCTGGACAGGGTTGTAGAAGGTCCTTAACCCGTCAACAGGACCGGTATCTGCTTCTTTGTGCAAGGAGGAACAGGATGAGCACTGCCAGAGCCCTACAAAATGACCTCCAGCAGGCCACTGGTATAAATGTCTCTGACCAAATAATTAGAAAAAGACTTCATGAGGGTGGCCTGAGAGCTCACTGCCCAGCACCATAGAGCTCAAATGGCATTTGCCATTGAACACCAGAATTGGCATGTCCGCCACTGGTGCCCTATGCTTTTCACAGATGAGCTCAGGTTCACCCTGAGCACATGTGACAGATGTGAAAGGGTCTGGTGAAACCATGGAGAACGTTATGCTGCCTGCAACATCGTACAGCATGACTGTTTTGGTGGTGGGTCAGTGATGGTCTGGGGAGGCATATCCATGGAGGGACGCACAGACCTCTCCAGGCTAGACAATTGCACCCTGACTGCCATTAGGTATCAGGATGAAATCCTTGGAAACATTGTAAGACCCTTCGCTGGTGCAGTGGGTCCTGGTGTATGACAATGCCTGACCTCATGTGGCGAGAGTATGTAGGCAGTTCCTGGAGGATGAAGGAATTGATACTGTTGAATGGCCCCCACTCTCGCCTGACCTAAATCCAATAGAACATCTCTGAGATATCATGTTTCGGTCCATCCGACGACGCCCTGTCGAGGAGCTCAATGATGCCCTGGTCCAGATCTGGGAGGAAATACCCCAGGGCACCATCTGTCAGCTTATTAGGAGCATGCCCCGACATTGTCAGGTATGCATACAAGCACGTGGGGGCCAAACAAACTGAGTACCATGTTGATTTGCTGCAAGGAAATTTCAGCAAAATGGACTAGCCTGCTGCATCATTTTTTCACTTAGATTTTTGGGGTGTCTTTGAATTCAGTCCTATGTAGGTTGATAAATTTCATTTCCATCAAACGATGGGGCATTCTTACGTTCCTAACACATTACCCAGTCCATATCAGGATATCCAGCATGATCATTTTTCCCCATTGAGATCTGATGTGTTTTTGTTTCAAAGTGTTCCTTTAATTTTTTTGAGCATTGTATTTAGTTTAAAGTAGAACTATAGGCAAAGATTCTTTTCATTTTTGATAAAGTACGGGAGGGTTATAACCCCTGTAAAGTTTCTTTTTGTCATCTTTGTCCCATTGGAGAGATGTAGCTTCACTTCCTGTCTCATAGCCAAACAGAAAGTGAGAGGAAATCTCTGAAAATTTAAGGGAATCTCTTGGGGACCCCCAGATCACCAGAACCACTGTCCCAATTGAAAAATTTCCCATCTATGACTTTTCTGGGGACAACCCAAAATATGGGATTTACTTTCACTTTCACTTTCAATGATAATGATAAACAGGAGAAATAGAAAATTCTCCCTAACTGGGACACGTACAACACAATAAAAACTGACAAGGGTTCCAATCCCTCTCCACTCTACAAAGTTTTGCCTTTAGTTATACCTAAAAGCCGGTGGCAGGATTTTTCAACATCTTTCGGGTGTGTCATATTCCTGGGTCCACCTGCTTACCACTTTGTAAACGTAAATGTTTGAATATAGATTTTATAATGGAATAATACAGTAACCAGTGTCCTTTTAATGTGGGCAAAAAAAAAAACACAGAACTTGCTGGAAACCATTTCACATTTTTTTTTTTTGTACATTTCAGATTCCTCAGATGGATGTTTAATGGCTTCTACAAAACATGGAACAATAGATGTATATGTCAGTCAAGCTGGTAAAGTGCATCTCAAATCTGACAAAGGTAAGTATTATTTGCACACGGTAAAATGCACTTTTTAGATCTGACGAGTAACTAAAACCCTGTACAATAAAATGGTGGCAGTTGCATTGTTGTTGGCACATTACTGTACATGTAGAGATAATTTGGTGGATTTACCACCGATGCACTTCTACAACAAAGATGAGAGTTCAGTATAAAAAGGAAAACAAACACAATATAGTCTATGTACATGTCAGTGCTGCCACAGGCATAGTACCTAAAGTGTTACTAAACCCAGGTCCCTGCATTCACTATATCTGGTCTCCCACAGTACACAGAACATGGAAACGCAATTATTTTAGTAAATATAAACTGCTAAATACCTTTTCTAATCAGCAGTTAAAGCAGTCTTGTGACTTCTATTAGTGTTTAGCAGAGCATTGGTTAAAGCTTGTAGGAGGAGTTTTCATTTTCCCCTGATTGTCCGATGAGGGTGCATAACCCCTGACCCTCTGTCTGGACAGCGCTTATTGGCTCTGTGCTGATTACAAGCACTCTCCCAAGGAAAAAAAAAACTAGCAATACACACCAAACTTAGCATGTGCAGCTTGCCCCCAAGGCTCTGTTCTATTAGCAGATGTATTGGGGAAAGAAGAAGAGAAGACAGTATCAAACATTGTTTTTACACAATGCAGAGGATTAATCCCTTAGGTGCTACAGTGAGTATAACCAGCATGATTTACAGCATATACAGACTGATTTTACTGTTGTGGTTTTAGTATCACTTTAACCACTTGCCTACCAGGTGCCGATCAGTCCTCTGAGGATTGCCAGTTATCGGCAGCAGTTTCCGTAGCCGATAACCAGCAACTGCATTTACCGGTGATCTTCTGTTTCATTGGACACGGCTGATCACGTGGTAAAAGGTCACTGTGATTGGCCTTTTACCACATCATGTGATCAGCTGTGTGCGTAGGACACAGCGATCACGGAGATCGTCGGGCGCGTAGGAGGGCGTATTCTGGGAGGATGGCATCTGAAGCCCTCCCAGAACTGTCCGGCTGCGGGGAAGCCGTCATTCAGCTATCTGTGGTCAGCAAGTGGTTAAGTCTGAAGCAGCAAAAGATTTAATGGAATCATTATTATTATAATACAGGACTTGTATAACCCCAACAGTTTATGCAGCACTTTACAACATAAGGGCAGACAGTACAATTACAATACAAATGAATACAGGAGGATTCAGAGCTCATTAAAGCTTAAAATCTAAGAGGGGAGGGTTGAGAGATACAAAAGGTAATAACTGTGGGGGATGGGCTGATGGATAGAATACATGTACAGTTGTTAGGTGGGGGCAGGATAGGCCTCTCTGAAGAGATGAGTTTTCAGGGATCGTCTAAAAGTGGACAGAGATGTAGATAGCGGTACATATTGGGGAAGGGAGTTCCAGAGGATGGGAGCAGCTCTGGAGAAATCCTGGAGGTGACAAGGGCGCTAGAGAGCAGGAGATCTTGGGAGAAATGAAGAGAATGATGTGGTTGCCATTTTGAGTCCAGGTTAGTGATGTAACTAGAGGCTGAGTTGGGGATGACTTTATAAGTTGTATCTTTTCCTCAGTAGAGGAGAAGGCCAAACACTGTAACATGTAATTCATAAAACATACTCTTGGGGTACATATGCAAAGTATTATATATACACTATATTGCCAAACGTATTGGGACACTCCTCCAAATCTTTGGATTCAAGTGTTCCAATCACCTCCATGGCCACAGGTGTATAAAATCAAGCACCTAGGCATGCAGACTGCTTCTACAAACATTTGTGAAAGAATGGGTCGCTGTCAGGAGCTCAGTGAATTCAATTGTGGTACCGTGATAGGTTGTCACCTGTGCAATAAGTCTATCTGTGAAATTTCCTTGCTACTAAATATTCCACGGTCCACTGTTGGTGGTATTATAACAAAGTGGAAGCAACTGGGAACAACAGCAATTCCGCTTCGAAGTGGCAGGCAACATAAAATGACAGAGCGGGGTCAGCGCATGCTGAAGCACACAGTGCACAGAAGTCGCCAACTGTCAATAGCTGAAGACCTCCAAACTTCATGTGGCCTTCATATTAGCACAGCAGTGTGTAGAGAGCTTCAAGGAATGGGTTTCCATGGCCGAACAGCTGCATCCAAGTCTTACATCACCAAGTGCAATGCAGAGCGTCAGATGCAGTGGTGAAAAGCACGCCGCCAGTGGACTCTAGAGCAGTGGAGACATGTTCTCTGGAGCGACGAGTCACGCTTTCCTGTCTGGCAATCCAGTGGACGTGTTTGGGTTTGGCGGTTGCCAGGAGAACGGTACTTGCTTGACTGCGACCTGCCAAGTGTAAAGTTTGGGGGAGGGGGGGTTATGGTGTGGGGTTGCTTTTCAGGGGTTGGAGTTGGCCCCTTAGTTCCAGTGAAGGGAACTCTTAAGGCGTCAGCATACCAAGATATTTTGGACAGTTTCATGCTCCCAACTTTGTGAGAACAGTTTGGGGATGGCCCCTTCCTGTTCTAACATGACTGTGCACTAGTGCAGGAAGCAAGGTCCATAAAGACATGGATGAGTAAACAACATGGTTGTTAAGGAACGATGTCCACCGCAACCTTACCAACCGGTGTTTCATCAGTGGACGGACGAGTGAGCGTCACCCCTTCCCCCAAACCATACCAGGCCACATGCACCTTGTCCCCATGTGCTCTGTGTGGGCTTTTGGACTTCTGCCTGTCACGAAGACAGACCATACTGGAGGGATATCCAGGAAGGTGGTGCCATTACTGTCTGTGGGGAGTATTACAAGGCCTTTATTGCTATAACTTAGGGTACATGGGAACTTGGAAAGAATTTGTTTTAATGTAGACCCTTGTTACGGGTATCCTAGACCATTCTGTTAGGAATGTGTTAAGTTACCTACAAGCTTGCCTAAACCTTTCATAACACAGGAGACTACATTAATTCTTGTGGGAAACCACATATCATCTGATGTTGACAATATTCTGTATAAAGCAGAAGAAAAGTACACGATTTACTGGATTGATTTTATCGATTGGTGAGGCCTTTCTCAACCTTTTTAACTCAGACTAGGAATCCACATGTAGGGGATAAAGCGGAAACAAATATGGCCACCGGCCTCCACGCTGCTCAGACGGCATGATGTCACCGGTGGAGCCTAGCCGGTGACATCACGCCGCCCGAGCCGCACGGAGGTCGGCGGCCATATTTGTTTCCGCTTTATCCCCTACATGTGGATTCCTAGTCTGATGCTCTATGCCTTATTTGGTGGGTTCCTTACTGGATATCTGAGAATTCACTACACATGGATGATGACCCCCTGCTGGATGGATGAAGTACCACAGTTGGTATAGATGATATGCTGATCACCTGCTGGGCTGCTGGTTTGCCAGATGATCTCCAGATTCCTTCCCTTCCAGTTTCAGAGTACCAGGAGTGCTCTGATAACTCAAACGCGCAATTGTGTGCGCTATCTGGTTAGTGCATAATATACACCCACCTAAGAGCACGAGAATCACTGATACTTCACCTTGTATTGGAACGTTCATCATCACGTCGCGGGATGTGATAGCATACTTAATTAGTCACTATATGCACTTTATAGTGTCACTGATATAGACTCTTATTTATTACTGTCATTTTATTATTGACTAATACACCTTACATTTATGTTTATTAGTTCAATACCCTATACTTAGCGCTGCATTTTTTTATATTATGTTATTGAGAAGGTTTAAGGTTGTACCTTTATGCTAGCTGCTCATTAACTTGTACAAGCGCTCGTAATAACCTCTCTGTTTAGTCTTCGATCTGAGCTTACGAGGGTCCATGCTTTGTTTACATTTGCATCTTTTCCTTGGCATTGTTGAAAGCCCACAGCCTGCGTCATTGTGAACATCTTCCCGCCCCTCATTAAACCGCCTATGCCATTCAAAAACACGATTTCTCCATCATGACCATTGCACTTTTGCCAATTTTTTCATGCAAAATGTGATGTTAATCTGCTGTTCCAGATACCTGTCACTCATTTTCCACCAACAGAGCAACACACACACGTTATTTCTTCTACTACTCCATAAAGACTGAGTCAACCGGTCTGGTGACCCAGGTGAGTGCAAATAGAACATGCCAGAACACAATGATTGTGCGACTCGCCACCATAATTACACTGCGGGCATTCCGGGAATTAAATTGTCACGCCTTGTACATTAGTGTGATGGTCACATAGACGAATGCGCCTTACTGTAGTTTTATTTGTAGTCATTGGGAAGATTCCTCTCCTTACAGATGGCTAAAAAGATCATTGTTCATAGTGGTTACTCATCTGCGAGGCAGACGTTGCTCATTGTTCAAGGAACCCCCTAGCAACCTCTGAAGGAACCCTGGTTGAGAAAGGCTGGGTTGATGTGTTGCAGGCAGTCCAAAAGGATAACATTTTACTTAACGTCATAATAAAGCTAATTGTCTAATCTATCTGATCTGTCTATATCTATAATTTTGTCTAAGGTTTATGTTAATTTTTACTTCCATTGCCATTTGTAGGAAGTATTAAGTTGAAAATACCTGCAAACCTTGAGGCGTACTTACAGCTGGTAGGAGCCAGAGTGAATGTTAGCCCTGAGGTTAAATTACAGGAAATCGAGAACACTTCCACAGAGGGCCAAACAATTTTAAAAGGTAAATATGCTACATACATGATTTAAATGGTGATCACATAAATTACTGTAGCTCCTCTAGTTTCAAATTGCTTTTGCTGTATAGTTTTGGAATAATGGCTCAGTGCTTGAATGGAGCTTATCTATATCTGAGTGCCACAAACTGAAAATGCTATTTAATTTGTTTTTCATATTCAAAGCAAACTCACCCATCCATCAATGTCCCATGCTTTATTATGAGAAATCACTTTGAAAAACACCCCCCTAATCATTTCCAACCACAGCCATCTTGAATAAGGGCAGATGATTCATGTGGCATTTACTTCCAGGAACTCCTATTCCCTTAGCTCAGGCATGCATGCAGGAGGGTGTGCTTAGCTGAGAAAACCCATCCTCCGGATAAAATGAAAAAATGCCCATGTAGATTCCTGTATGATTTTTGGCCTGGAAAAGTATTCCGTGTTGATTGAGGGAGCTTAGTTCTGATAATTGTCAAGTGTTTCTGTCTATTTCCCCATACAAGTCACTGTGAATGTAAAGGTAACTCAGCAGCCGCTTCAAGTGTATCTAAACCCAAGGAGTACCATTTAATATATTGCAGATTACCAGGTTTTAGATGTGGTTGGTGGTTTCCTGTGGTAGGGTGACAGCACTCACTCTGCATCTTTGGAGCAATATTATCATCCTAGGCCAAGAAGTGTATTAAAACTACAAAACACCTCCTGCTTGCTTCATCTCCACAGCATTGGGGGGGGGGGGGTTATTCTGTAGGCCACAATGGTGAACCTGGGCAGACCTAACAATGCAGCTTGAGATAACCTCACAGAGTATGCAGGATAGCACTAGAGTTCTGTCAGGTTTATCAGATAATTTTGCAGTTGTCAAACAGTTATCATTTACATTCTTATGAGTCTCAAGCCCATGCACATGGTTCCTACACTTTTTTGTTAACCATCCAGTGTAGTAGGTGTAAACATGACTGTTTCTTTGACTAACAATCTGTCTGCATGATGTGGATTTCAAACCATTAAAGTCCATGTAAAGTGAACCTGTGAGGATACAAATGTAGGAACCACCACTGTACACTTTTTTCTTTAACAGCCCCATAGTAATCATCTTTTTTTTTTTTAAAAAAAATGGTGTCTCGAGTTAATCGCCGTTCACATTTAGGTCTTCAACTGTCCAGGGGGAGCACAGATGTTACATCCTGGAGTGTGCAGTCAGCCTGTTGAAGTCAATGACAGATGACCAGCTGCACAGATCTCCATGCTCATCCTCGAGTGCACATCTGTGCAGGTCCAATGTATGGATCAAGATGTAGACAGATGGCATACTGATCATTGCATTGAACCTGCACAGATGTGCACTCGAGGATGCACGTGGAAGTCTGTACAGCCAGCACCTGTCATTGATTTCAGTAAGCTGCGTTCATGGTCCTGCACACAGCCATATGGATGTATAGTGTATTCAGTTCATACCTACACTTTGGTTCTTTTTTGCAAGTTGTGTTCAGTGTTTGGGCCACTGAAAATTGCAATTTAATTGCTCCCTCTAGTAGGTCTTCCTTCCCGCAGACCATGCATAATATTCCAGATAATCTAGTCTATCACTGTGCTTTATTTTCAGCAACAATGAATTTGATGAATGAAACACAGAGATGGATTGAAGCAGAAGCCAGGAAAGGCACAGTGTACTTGAAGCTCCAGGACTGGCTGCAATCACTAAAACTCCATACAACATGAGATTTCTACAAAATACTGGACCTTACTGGAGTATAACTGGATCAGTCAGCTTACATAGTACCTAAGTCAAATGTAAAATGCAGAATAAGCATTTTTAAATTGCGGTGTTTCCTCTCTCCATTTTGTATATACAGTAGGAAAGGTGGGTATTGATCTTCTTGTATGTTACTATACAAAAAGGCAAATTCAGGAGAGCTCGTTTGTGTGTGCTGGTTATAGTATGTTTTGTATGGATGAGGAATTATGTTTACTGACCTGTGATTTAGAGTCTTTGATTTTAGATTAAACTGGAGTGTGTGTTTGAAGGCACTTTTATGTGAAATCCTGGGAAGTTATCCCAAAATCATGAAGCAGCTTTAAGAAGACATTGTCTGATGCACTGTGCCTTGCAACAGCTATATGGACAAGTCTTGTCTTCCTTGTAGAGCTCAGGGGGTGACTTCTTTTGATCAGCATTGTATCCTGGGAATGCCTATAGTACATTGTATGGTAATCCTGGAGACCAAAGTGTCATAGGAAGAAGGACAGTATCTTCCAGAAAGAAAAAGCCATTCACTTACATCCAAGCTGAAGAGACTAACAATGCTGTGGTTTTAAATGTAGTGTCTGTTCACATTTATAGGTCACAGATTGCGAAAATGGTTTATACTTGTGCCTTGTCTAGTGTTTATGAATACAACTTGAACTTTGTATTGTCAGCAAAACTTTGTTGTGAAAAGGAGTCTGTACAGCGGCCGTTCTTGAAAGCCTCATATCTGGACGGAATTTTGGAATAGGCACAATATTTTGCCTAATGAAATACGCTACTGAGA